GAACAGGTTTTGTAGAAAATGCAAACGACCTCATTTATTCTGGGGTCTAGTTCATCATTCCTCTCTGTCCTTCCTCCAACCAGAGCTCAGCCCACCCTCCCTACAACTGCCCCCACCACATCTCTAATTCACTACCCCATTTTCTCCACAAAAGAGGCTATTTTCAAAGCAATGACTTCGAGAGGAATGAAGCCATCCTTTCTCCTCTTTGCCCTAGCAGCTCTCAGATTTCCATCAAAACTTATCTCATTTAATAGCTGCCAGGAGAGTAATTTGATTACTGATGACTTAAGTGTCAACTGCCTCAGATCCTTTATGTGGGGAAAAAAAAAAAAAAAGAACTCGTTAACCTCCAAAGCCACTGGCTTCAATAATTGGATTTCACCAAAAATATTTTAGCTCATTTTTTTTTGTGGTGCATACTGAATTACGCAAGAGCAATAATGAATGTGTTTATGCTAAGTAGGTGGTAGAGGCAAGATTTCATTTTAACATCTATGAGAAATGAGGATGCAAAATCTTGGTCATTGTGCTGTACTCTTAACCTGCTGGGAGAAAGCTTATTTTTGAAGACCTAGTTGCAAGGGTGGTTCACTTGGTAAACAGTTAAATATGGGAGGATGCAGCTGAATGGAAGATAAATTGTTTCAGTTTTATGCATGAAAAAACGAGAACAAGTATGGGAGGGTGTTCATGTTTTTTTTTTTAAATGCCCCCTGTTGTGTCTATGGCCCATTCAAAAGGCACTGAATTAGTAAAAGGTGCACTCAGCTTGAATCCATGCAAAGAAATTATTAAAAGAGAGGTCTGATAGCAGAGCCCAGCAGTCATTTTAAAAGTGGACTTTATATTATTTTTTTAGTGTCTACTCTTAATATAATTAGCAAGATATTAGAAAAATGGCTCTCTGAGAAAGGCATACTTTCTCTAATTCTGTCTTCTTCCAAATGAAATAAGCTACCTCCTAGTAGCTTTCTAAATACCTGTAGATGGATTTATTTTATTTCATGTGTGTGAGTGTATTTCCTGCATATATGCCTGTACACCATATGCCTAGCTGGTAGACATGGAAGTCAGGCGGGGGCATAATCCCCTGGAACTGGAGTTGCAGAGGTTGAGATGTGCCCTGTGTTCCTGGCATTTGAGCCAGGCTCCTCAGAAAGATCAATCAGGGCTCCTTATCTCTGATCCATGTCTCCAGTCACAACGTTTGAAGGTTTTAATAATCGCTGATGATCAGAAGGTTTTATCCTCCAGATTGTGAAGGTTCCATTTGTTTTAACCCGTGTATAGAAAGCACTACCCCACAGCCAGGGAGTCAAAGTGCATCTGGTGCCTTTGCTAATTATCATCTAGCAAAATGGGCTTCTCTTGATTCAACATCTGCCTTTGACCTTTATATTCCATAATTTCATAATTATACCAGCTCTAGTTTTCTTTTTAGAGAGTGAAGTGTGAGATAAATCTTGAAGTTGGGAGTGCGCTTCAGATGCTTTTTTTTTTTTGATGGAATTTGTGATGGTGAAATGACTATGCAAATATCAAAGCATTTCCAAATTATTCACTACATTTATTTGTGTGTTTGTGTGAGTGATGTGGTATGTGGAGGTCAGAGGACAGCTTGCAGAAGTCATTTCTCTCCTTCCAGTGTGTGGATTCCCAGGATCTAGTGAAGTCGTCAGTCCTGGTGGCAAGCACCTTCACTTGCTAAGCTGTCCTCACTGATCAACATTATGGATGTTTTAAAAGCTAGACTTTCATCCGATGAAATGCAGAACCCCCATGAATCTACAAGAACATTTTTCTAATATCTCATAGCAAGCAATTGAAAAAATTCTCAAGTTAACACAACTCACTTACCAGATGAGTATATGTTTATTTTGTTTAAATAAACATATTTAACAAAAGGGTCTTCATGAGCCCTTCATTGATCACGTAGGTGAGGGGCACACTCGGCTATCGGTTATCACTTAGATTGAAGATATTTGTCTCAAAGTATGTCTCATTGACATGGTTGGAGAACCAAAGAATATATAAAGAAAGCATGGGGCTGGGTGGTGGGTGGCACACGCCTTTAATCCCAGCACTTGGGAGGTATAGATGGGGGGATGTCTGTGAGTTCCAGGCCAGTCTGGTCTACAGAGCAACTTCCAGGGCACATTCTAAAGCTACAGAGAAATCCTGTCTAGAAAAACAAAAACAAAATTGAAAAACAAAAGAAGAAAGGAAGGAGGGAAGGAAGGAGGGAGGGAGGGAGGGAGGAAGGGAGAGAGGGAGGGAGGGAGGGAGGGAGGGAGGGAAGAAAAGAAGGAAGGAAGGAAACATGGGATGCTACACAGGATTTGAATGCTTATCTCTGTATAAATTGAAGCAAACTGCATGGTTACAGTGACCAACCTGTTTAGTTGGAAGGCCAACTAGAGTCCATATATACTCCAAAAGACTAGAATGTTTGGAATCCCCAGCTCAGAGGCCCATTCCAGAGCCAGCCCTCTGCACCCCAAGCAGCATCTCCCCTGGAGTGGCCCTCTTCAAACTCTGCCCCTGAGAAAACCACCAAAAGTAACCCCTTCTTGGAGCTGCTCAAGACCACACCTATGGGCTACTTAACACTTGGTAGCCATATTAGCCATGGGATACCCTTTGTACCCTCCCGAGATCACCCAGGAGTGCTTTGTTCAGATTAAACCTGGTTCTATTAATTCGGTTTGTTTGGTGGCGACAGATTCCCTTTAACCAGGGATTCAAATCTCATCACAACCCGATCAGGGACCTGGGGAACTTGGGTCAGAATTCTCAGTCATAACTGCAAACCCTGAAATTATTAGCAGTACAACAATTTCCACATGCCCGAATTTGCTTGCTTATAACTTGTATTAATTGCAAATTAATCCACCGATTGTCCTGTTTTGGAAGGTGTTTCAAAAGTGGCTTGTTTATAATAGCTCCTAGCACCACGGGAATTCGAATAGGATGCCAACCAAAAGCCGTTTCAAATAAAACCCTCTTTCCCCTTTTGGCAGCTGACTAAAACAGACACATACACAGTAGCTCTCGATCTGTGATCTGTGTGTGTGTGTTTATTTCGTTGTTTAGCTCTCAGTCTCCCCTGGTTTGGGGTAGTTCTCCTTAAGGAACTTTCTTGGTTGGAAGCATTTAGCAAAAATACAATTTTACCTCCACATCTGTACTGCGGTTTGAAATTATCTCATTTTTTGTTTGTTTGTTTTTGTATGATTTATCATAGACTCTTGCCTGCTATGGTCAGTATAAAGAGTGAGCAAAACTGCAGTGGCTTCTGCCTCAGGGTAATTTACATTTAATTAAACAGGTGCCTCTGGTATTTAATCAACAGATATTACAGGTAATGTTTGCACCGTAAAACATAGAAGAGATATTTATATTTTATGTCCTGCAATCCTAGAAACATTTTGGTAAACCTAGGTCATTATTTTGCAATTATTCAAATATCTTTCCATATACAAGGACAAAGATTGCCCATTGAGAGGAAGAACTACTCTAGACAAACCTAAAGAATGGACTGTTAGAGAGAGAGAGAAAGACAGAGAGAGGGAGAGAGAGAGAGAGAGAGAGAGAGAGAGAGAGAGAGAAGCCCATGATGCTTTACAGGGATTTTGGCCATAAGCACAGTCTGTCCTTGTAAGTGGTCCCCTTGACAAAGAGTTCTTTGTAAAAAATGGGCCTGCTCCCTGGAGAGAGAGAAAATGATTCTTTCTGGCCAGAGAGCTGTTAACTCTTTCTTCTCTTCTGCAGTCAAGAGTGAGGTAGATCCATAGTGATTAATTCCCAATTGAGTTTTCGGGAGTAGCATTCAGTCATACTGTGTTTCCGTGTGACTGAGTGGATGGTGGGATCTTCTTGCCCATGTCTCTCTAGTCTCCTTTCTTCCATCTGTCCGGCACAGGTGGATCATGTCAAAGGCAGATTCCAATAACTACTGAACCATTAGTGTGCTGATGCTATTATTACACAGAAATAGCTGAAGACTGTTTGGATAATCACATTTTTTCAAGTTTACTTTCAGACTTTGGTGGTTTTAGACATGGATGCCCCCAAAATGAGAAGTATACACTTTCCTTGACAATTAGTTTTGCCTAGGGAATGCTGCACAAGCATCAGCGAAAACACCCAAGAGCTAAGAGAGGGGTCTGTCGAACGGTAGTATGCTCCCTTTAAGAGCAAAATGAGCTTTACAACTTTGGGAAATTTTCTGCTTCTATTCTGAGGGAGAGAGAAGAGCAGTTAGTGTCAAAAACCAGAGAGCTGTAAGGATGGTTACAGGCTGTGAGACAAAAGCAGAGGCAACTTTACACCTTCCCAACAGCTCACCTGGGAGTGGTTTGAACTCCTCTGGGGTTAAGAACGTTTTCTTTTCCAATCAAGGCTAAGGGTGGAGCTAGGAGAAAAAGAATTTAATCAGAAGTAGATGTCAGTATTCATTCTGTTCTGTTCTGGGAAGTAGACGAGAAGAAAAACCCAAGTGGGGCAGAGAAGAAGCCACCGCGAGGGGCTGCCTTCTCCAGGAACGGGAGCAGCCATTTCATTACAAAGTAAAGGTAGAAACTCTTCATTGCTCTGGCATTAGTGATTGGAAATCTTGAAACTGAATCTTACTTCATCTCTGTATATTATAGATTGCTTTCATGCAATAAAATGTGTTAGTATAAAATCACTGTTCTCTCATCAGGTGAGAAAGGGTTGTGAGGTATCATTTGGGGTCATCATAGTGTTTACTCGAACACTGTATACATAAAAAAAAATCTGATTTTCTCTAATTGCACACTTTGTTCCTATAATAACTGAGTTGCTTTCTATACCAGAATGTTGAATCAATACTGAATGTCTCCATAGTTCAGATGAAGTATTTGCTACTTTAGATGGAACAAAATTGCTCCCAATATGTCAAACTGCTGTCAAGATGGAAATTGGAATCTAAGGCTAATAAGATGTTTAATTTTTTGTTCTCTATTTTATTTTAGATTCTAACTGAAAATTAAGGAAAAAGGAAAACACAAAAATTAGCAATTCACCTGGAACTTTGAACTGATATAAAACTCCCTTGGATGTGCTAAAGGACGAAGAAAGAATGAGCTATTACGGAAGTAGTTACCGAATTGTAAATGTGAATTCCAAATATCCAGGCTATCCCCCAGAGCATGCTATGGCTGAGAAGAGAAGGGCAAGAAGGCGCCTGCTCCATAAAGATGGCAGTTGCAACGTGTACTTTAAACACATTTTTGGAGAATGGGGGAGCTACATGGTTGACATTTTTACCACTCTTGTGGATACCAAGTGGCGTCACATGTTCGTGATATTTTCTCTGTCTTATATTCTCTCCTGGTTGGTATTTGGCTCCATATTTTGGCTCATAGCCTTTCATCATGGAGACCTGTTAAATGATCCAGACATCACGCCTTGTGTTGACAACGTGCATTCGTTCACCGCAGCATTTCTTTTCTCGCTCGAGACCCAGACCACAATAGGGTACGGTTACCGGTGTGTCACAGAAGAATGCTCTGTGGCCGTGCTGACGGTCATCCTTCAGTCCATCTTAAGTTGCATCATAAACACCTTCATCATTGGAGCAGCCTTGGCAAAAATGGCCACCGCCCGGAAGAGAGCCCAGACCATCCGCTTCAGCTATTTTGCACTCATTGGTATGAGAGACGGGAAGCTTTGCCTCATGTGGCGCATAGGTGATTTCCGACCAAACCACGTGGTAGAGGGTACAGTGAGAGCCCAGCTTCTCCGATACTCAGAAGACAGTGAAGGGCGGATGACTATGACCTTTAAAGATCTCAAACTCGTCAATGACCAGATCATTCTGGTAACCCCAGTTACCATCGTCCATGAAATTGACCACGAGAGTCCTCTGTATGCCCTTGATCGCAAAGCAGTGGCCAAAGATAATTTCGAGATTTTAGTGACTTTTATCTATACTGGGGATTCCACTGGGACATCCCATCAGTCTAGAAGTTCCTACGTCCCCAGAGAAATTCTCTGGGGCCATCGGTTTAATGATGTATTGGAAGTGAAGAGAAAGTACTACAAAGTGAACTGCTTGCAGTTTGAAGGAAGTGTGGAAGTCTATGCCCCCTTTTGCAGTGCCAAACAACTGGACTGGAAAGATCAACAACTCACCAACTTGGAGAAAACATCCCCTGCCCGAGGATCCTGCACCTCTGATAGCAATGTCAGGAGGCGGTCCTTCAGTGCTGTTGCCATTGTGAGCAACTGCGAGAACCTTGAGGAGACCGGCACCTCCCCACCAGATGAGTGTAAGGAAGTCCCTTACCAAAAAGCTCTCCTGACTTTAAATAGAATCTCCATGGAATCCCAGATGTAGCCCTCCTCCTTCAGCCCCTTCCCCAAAGGCACAACATTGTTAGTGTGATTTTTAACAAAATGTTACACCTGTCCTTTGCAGCAGCAATAGAAAGCACAGCAGGTTAAACCTGGTAAGTGATCATCTAAAAATACCACAGCTTTCCAGCATTAAAATTTGGCACTGGTAGCAAATTTTGTATTGGGAAAACTATTAAGAAGCTTAATTGATTACACTTAATCTCATTATGGCACACCCTTGTATCCTCTCTTGAATGTGAAATATTTAGGAGTGGGAGAAAAGAGGCTGCTGGAATAGATAAAGATAGAGACAGGTGAGCTAAATATTTACATTGATAAAATAATTATGGAACGAGATCTTATAATAATATCTCATAACCTAAGCAAAACAAATAAGACATATCTCAGCACAGAAACGCGAGACATGGAAGTAAAATGAAGTGTGGTTTGAGGTCCCGTATTTGCCTGTCATGGTGTCTTGGTAGCAGCAGACAGATGTGGCTCTAAGAAATTGACAGTGACATCAAGTCACAGACTCCTTTTAGTGAGACTTGCCTAAAGTGTTATCAGTGAATGCTAGAAGCTAACCATGTGACAGAGGAAGCAGAGGCATCATTATTTGGAGAACTATTTCTCTCTTAAATACCTTGGTTCAACCAGACGAATGGGGAACAGAAGTGAGGGAGTGGCCCTTCCCTGTGCTCCCCAGAGAAGTCCTCTGTGTTCATACACCTACTGTTCTCAAGCATTTGGGTGGGATCCCAGAGATGGGTGCAGCAGTGAGAGGCAGCTGAGATCTGAGAATAAATGCTGTTCACTGCTGATCCTGAGAGGCTACATGTAGGCTGAGAGGAATTAAAAGAGCTAGAATCTTCTCTAAAGGCAGTGAGGTCTTGCGTATGGTGACTTGGCTACAAGCATGATCCATTTTGTGAAATAGAGCAATGAAGTTAATTTGAATGTGTATTAGAGGGATAAACTGAATAATTTAGGAAATGCTTAAATTTTAGGACAAAAATAAATGCACGTTCTGTTATCGTGTTAAAGGATTAAGTTAATTCCTGACTCCTTTTAGCATGAACCCAGTCTCAGATACTACTGTAAGCTTTATAAACTGAAGAATTATTAGCTATGGCTTGGCATGATTTGTGTATTTTTTCCACTGTTTCTGAGCTAGGAATGAGTATATGATACAGCTGCTGTTTAATTTAAACACACATACATTTTCCTTTTTTTCCAGCGATCTCTCTTTTTCTACACATACACACACACACACACACACACACACACACACACACACACACCACAGTTACTCAGATTTGATCTCATAAGTAGAATGAACTGAATCACACAGTCAAAGATTACCAACTGCAGCGAAACAAAGAGGTATTGAAGGACTCTCCTTTCTTTTGTAATTTTCCTTTTTTCTCCCTCTTCCATTTTTCTTTGCTTCTTCCTGTAATGTAGGATCAATACAGAATACCATGTACTTTGCAAATGCACATGTATAAGTAAATCTTTCAACCCTGATATCTTATAAGAAATCTGCTCAAGGGGCAAGTTAAAAACTGCCCTGAAACTTAATATCTGTGACCAAAGTCACGTTTAACCTGCGCTGCTTAGGAATGGAAAATCCATTAGCTAAATCAAACAATATACTCATGTGTTACACACACACACACACACACACAGACAGAGAGAGAGAGAGAGAGACAGAGAGAGAGACAGAGAGAGACAGAGAGAGAGAAAGAGAGAGAGAGACAGAGAGAGAGAGATACACACACTTGGAGACAGAGAGACAGACACAGAGAATTAGGCTTTTTAAAATAGCAATGGCTTCTCTAAATTAGAATATTTACCATTTCCAAGCCTAGAAATCATAACCACCATAACAATGCCTTCCCCACCAGTTTGAATTTGTTTCTCTAGAAGGCAGGTACATTCCATTGCACTGTATTTCCTTTGCTCTGTCTTCCCATGATGCCTGCCATTGAAACGGGGGTGGGGGGTGGGGATCATTGATGTTTGATTAAATCTATTCTGTTGCACTATGTGTTCACACACAGGATGGAATGAATGGTTGGCATTCCCACGTCCCGTGCATCTCTAATCGCCTGTGCAGATGTATAGCATGCTTAAACATCCCCCAATGGCTTACTTAACAATAAAGGTCTTAGAGTGATGCAAAACAATGTGTATTTCCCTCTGATTCCTGTAGCATCAACTGTATGGCTTGAAAACAAGAATCTTGTTTCATACAGTTCATGAAACACCGTTATGGGCTTTTACAAACTTGTGGAGCAGCTACGTCGGAAGTGACAGTTGCTTCTATACACATCACAGTTCGGCTCGGTTCAAAATGCATTTCCGGTTTTGAATGCACTGTTGTTGAAGATAAATGATTCAAGCTGAATATTTTCCTTATGCCGTATATCTCTCCCTAAACATGAAATTATGCATCAGAGTTTATTAGATAGAAAACAAATTGTGGTATCACGCCTCTGCCCATTGGGAACGGTGGTCTGTGTGCAAGCAGAACGAATGAACGAAAAAAGAGAGTTGGGGGGAGAGGAAGAGGGAGCAGGAGATGCCTCTACTTCACAACTTCATTAAGCTCTGTAGATAGCAACACACAGATGTTCGCAGTCTCCACGACCAAGTGGTGAGGTGGGTATTTAACAAATGCTCAGTTCTGTTTCTTCCTCACTAACCCATTTGTGGTCAGGGCAGCAGCATACTCAGGTGAGAACACACAGCAGTGCTTCTCAGTTTCCCTCTCCTCGGGGGCTGGAGTGTGGGGCAGGGATGGGATTAAGTAGCGTCATTCTGGGCCAGGCGTTATCAGTGCAGGTCTCTGGGGCGATTTCTATAAAAGCGCTTTTGTAGAGGCGGACTTGGCAGGCGTATATCCTTTCATTCTCCCTTGTCACCCTCTGTCTCATATGGACTTCAGACTTGATAGCTGCTGGGATTGTAGCCATGTTGGACAAAGACAAATGAAGCACAACTCCTGCAAGACAGGATGAAGGCGTAAGAGGGAATGTACCCTCCTATGCACATATGTCTCCAGCACATCCCTGCGAAGTTCATGCTCTCTCGGCTCTTTTAGCCATTGAGTCCAGGTACTCCTGCCTGTGTATGACTGGGTGTGTGGCCATTCAACGGAGAATGGGCACCCACCGGAGGCCTCAATGTCTGAAGAAAATGGGCTCTCCCTGTAGCCGCCAGCTATCAGAATTAGCTCCTCTGCTTTCTCTTTGCAAGAGCAGAAATAAACACTCTCTAACCATTACAGGGAGTACTACATCTCAAAGGAATTGCTTTGAAAACAAGGCTAGAAATAGGGGGAAAAAGACATACAGTTTAAGTCCAGTTTGTACTTGTACCTGACATTTGATGGAGCTGGTCAGTGTGGAAATTACATATTTTCTCGGGAACTGAGGAAATGCCGTTATTATTGTAAAGCAAACACAAAGGAATTGCTTCTGACCTAGAAATCCCTTTGGGCCACTGGTGGCTGAGTGATCTTGATAACAGGATTGACCAGGCCTCCTATGATGGCTGCCTTGATGGTCTCCCTTCCCCACAGCCCAATTGCCTGAGTTCTGTGACTTTGTGGGACTTTTGATGGTACTAATGACCCGAGAGAAATACAGGCTTAGCAAACCCTGTAGTGACAACAGCCAAACAAGACAAAATGACACTCCCCAGCCCTGCTTAAATGCTCAGCAGACCTTAACAACACCAAATGTTTAAGCTTAGAACATTCAAAGGTATTTTAAAGATACTCCAAGGAACAGTCCTAAACATTTTTACTTTCCGGGATTGGGGGTGGGGGCTGAGTATGTAGCTCAGTTGATGAAGTACTTGCTTGCTTAGCATGCACAAAGACAGCTCTATCTCCAGCAAACAAACAAAACAGGACATTGGGGTATACATGTGCAGTTGAGAGATAGAAGCATGAGGATCAGAAATTTAAATTCATATTTATCTATATATAGCCTGTTCCATGCCTGTTTGAACTATGTAGAAGGCTTTCTTATAGGAGAAAAGTAGTTGGTTGGGGAGGTGCCTCCTTGATTTAGAGCACTGGTTGCTCTGCCAGAGGACCCAAGTTTGATTCCACACACCAGCTCAGACCCATGTGTAATTATTTTTAGTGGAGTCAATGCCCTCTTCTGACCTGCACAGATATCAGGTAAGCACATAGCACACAGACTTACAGGCAAAACACCCATATGCATATGTTTAACATACTTACAAAAATTAATTTCTTATGTCTGAGTTGATCACAGACTACAGCAGGTTCTAAAATCTACCATTAAATCCCTGGGGAGCAAATTCTACTCAGTTGGAGATGTTCTCTGCCTTCTCTCTGACAAGCTGACCTGTTTACAGCTGTCCCAAAGGCCTTGTAGGGCCATCCCATTGCTCTGTGACTTTTAATATCAGCTTAGCTGACAATTTCTAGAAGTCATGTCTGCACACCCACCGTCACCTGGTCACCCCTCAGCCCTGCCACTATTCTAAAGCTAGTACATCTTCCTTCTCTCCCACTCCTGCTTTCAAGGAGCTACGTATACCCACCTTCACTCAGGAAACCATCTAGATACATGCACAAAATTCTAGTGGGATTCACACAGAGAACATGAACAGAGCACCCATCAAGGGGGAACATCAGCACATCCTCTGCTAAAAAGTCTCCTGGATGCTGGAAGATGGAAACTAGCAATTTCGACTTGGTTTGAATAAATCTGTGGGCAGAGAGGAAACAGGGTCCCCAGCATGGCCTTTTCCTGAAAAGACACAATCATCGCGTTGATCACCTCTCTATACTGCCATGGGGATTTTCATTCCAAATGCTTAATTCACTGTTTTTTGTATCACTAAAGTACTTTACTGGGGCTCTTTTAGGACTCTGTGATTGGTTTCTGAGGTTTCACTGGGGTGGAGATGCTTCTTGCTCTGTCATACCCTTGTGTACATCTTTCCTTGGGAAGGTTCAGGACTGTAGTTTGGGGTGCTTTATGCAGTATCAAACAATTGAGTGCAAAACTTCTAATGTTAATTTTATTTGAATACACCCTTTAAGGTTCAGCAGTTCTTTTGGTAGAAGAACACCTAACATGGAAAGCAAAGTAAAAAAAAAATAAAAAAATATGAATAAAATAACCCTTGTTCTTTCGATTTTAAGTCTTACTATTTTATTCTTTTATATAAATACTGTAGAGTTGGGGCTGGAGAGATAGTTCAGCAGTTTAAGAGCAGTTGGCTGTTCTTGAGGAGGACCTGGGTTCAATTCCAGTATCTACATGGTGACACACCATAGTCTGAAATTGCAGTTCTAAGGGCACTAGGCATGTAGGTGGTGCAACACACAAGCAAAACACTCACATATTTAAAATCAGAAATAAATACATCTTTAAAATAATATTGTAACGATATTTAAGCCAATGTTGGTACCTCATGTCTTTAATGCCAGCACTTGGGAAACAGAGGCAGGCAGATCTCTGTGAGTTCAAGGCCAGCCTGTTCCATGGAGTGAGTTCCAGGACAGCCAGTGGTATACAGAGAAAGCCTGTCTGGTAAAACAGATACAAAAGCAACAAGCAAATAAATAATACTGTAAAGAAGTGTCATAACTGGAGTGTGCCTCTTGTCTCAAGGAGAAACAGGTAGCTGTTGGAGAGATTGCACAGTTGGTAAGATATTTGCCTTTGCAAGCTCCAGGACCCAAGTTAGTCCCTCAGAACTCAATTACAAAGCTGTGGGCATAGTAAGGCGGCATCTGTAATTCCAGTGCTCATCAAGCTGAGATAGGCTGATCTCTGGGATTCACTGGCCACAAGTTCTAGGAGGATGGGAGATACTGTCTCTAGACACAACGTGGACAACACCAATGAGCATTTAGAACTCAAAGTAGTTCTTTGGCCTCCGTGTGGATCTATGCATGTGTGCATGCACAAACTATAGGTGTATGCCTACACGCCCACACCAAAAGGGGATGTGTGTGACGATAAAACAGGCAGGCAGAGGTTACCAGACTTTTTAATAAATCTGTGATGTTGATTTGTCTGATCTCAGATGGAAACTTAGAAAACTCCCCAGACTCCAGAGAAAATGGTTATTTCAAGCTTTTCAGTAATTCCAATGGGTGAAAACCAAACAGCTTCTCTTGCTGAATTACATAACCATGGAATGCTTTTGTTTCGACTGCAATTTTGACCCGAGGGAGCAAAGAAAACATTCTTAAACACTATCGAAGAAACTTGAACTTGATACAGAAAGAGATTCAACTCAAAGCTAGTCTCTGTGAAGTCGTCTTTAGAAAAAAATTTATCAGAAGTCTTCACATTTCCACATGAAAGACTTTGTCACATGTAATCCTCACTGTGACTACACATGCTTCATTTTAATCGGAAGCACATGTTGGAGATCGATTATTTATTATACTTCTGGTGGAGACTTCTGACATTAGTTTGCCTGGAGAAGAGAAGCTGGTCCTCAGAGTTTATGGCAGAGTTCAACCCTGCCAGCTGCTAATTCACACCCAAAGATGCTTATGATAGTGGCCCCTTTTATCAGATACCTTTGTATTATAGATAAGGGACTCTTCTCTGCAGAGACAGACAGAGAAGAGCAGAAGACGCTCGATACCCAATCATCAATTACCTGAGATGAGTCACCCCAGGAGACTTATGTGGCTTAAGGATGAAATGTTAGCACCTTTATAGGATAATTATTAAATGAAATATACGGTCATGTCAATATCCTTTGTGAACCTGAGGACATAATTTTCTTTTTTCTACTTATATTTATTTTATTTTATTGAGAAGTTCCTACACAAGAACCATAGATACATCATGTATAATGAGTTGCAGGGTTTTGTTTGTTTGTGGTCATATTTTGTTTCATGTTAAGTTTTGAACCCAGGGCTTTAAGCATGGAGAGGGCAAAAGATTGTTTGAATGATTGACTGAAGCATTTGCCAAAAGATGGCCTGCTAAAAAAGGAGTTGGAGATGTCTGATATTCTTTGGCTTAGTATTGATGAAAGGATTTTAAGACTCAGGTAAATTGCAATGCTACAGTGGGTATGCTGTGTAAAACCTAATCCTCCACAGTGAGAAATCCCAGAAGACATGCCCTTCACTAATTTTATAAGACAAGATGGAAAATGGTAAGAGAGGCACCAGTGTAATTGAAGAGCTTTGCTGGTGCCCTTTTTCTTGTGCTAGACCTTAGAGATGGAGATGCTACTGCTCAGTG